TCCAAGTGTATCACATTGAAAGCTTTGCATTCAAAAATATTTCCAGAAAAAAATGTGCAATTATGCACCTCATCTACATTTATTAATGATAGAAACTCATTTTTAGAGAAATTATCAGAGTTGGTAAGTTAATGTAAGGGTGATAGTGTTTTTGATTTGGTGCTCAGCAGCTGTTCACTTGTTTCATTTCATCTGATCCCTGCTATATTGTACACTGAAGATGTTCCATTTTTTTGTCTTTACGAAGTAATTTCTTGGTGAACATGGTGAATTACCGTATTTATTAATACTGCATGGTTTGTGTGGGGTTGCAAGCAAGGGCACCACAGGGGCAAAGGATTTTGCTTATGTGCAAACTGGGCAAGTGGCTGCAGACCTGTGCACAGTGGAAATATCCACTGTGCAGCCATTTTACCACAATGAAGCAAACCATTGGCTAACCTGAAAAGGAAATGTGAAGGAAATAATTTTGCCTGGCGGTAAGACTTCATTTGAAGCTCTTGCCCGCCAGAAGGAGGACCTAATAGCTATTACTGATCTATGTTCTGTGTGTGACTGCCTGATAATTATTATTGCTTGTGTGTGTGTGTTAGGAATTTCTGTTGAGAGATTCTGCAGAATTGTGAGTATTGCCACATCTGTACCCATGCCCTCCAGTCCTTTTTTTTGGCAGAATGCGTAAGGGTTTTTGGGACTTCATCAAGGAGAATCCAGCCACCTAACAGCTGACCATCAAATATTTTTTTAAACCGCTTTTGTCATCCTTAACTGGCCTGAAAGTTGGTCTTGTCTTATGTAGCCTGCATTAGAAAAATGTAAGTATTTTTTATTAATGAAAGATGTTTATGTCACCTTTTCTTGTCTCCTCTTGGTTTAGCAACGCATTGCTGTTGAAATGCTAGTTCAATATTATAGCCGAATTTTGAAGAATTTGTTTTCCGTGGCGTGGCAAAGTAAAATGTGAAAACAACAGTCGAGTTCATTTTCAAGAAATCATCACGGAACAAAAACCAAGGAACATATTTAAAAAAATAACTTCTTCCGCGTTTGTACGCAATTCCTCGCCTCGAAAAAAAAAATCACTGGCCGGAATAATTCACGAGCTTGTTACAAATTTCAGAGTCGGGTGGGTTTTGTTTTCTTACGCAAGCCATTTTCTTGACTATATATTTTGCGGGATTCATTTCCAATTTGAAATCGCCTCTCGGCTGTTCAAGTAACTTCGAAGATTTCTGATCCTGTTGAGCATGGCCTGACCACGAAAACGTCTCTCCAATCTTGAAGGCAGTAAGGAAGGTGTGAAGGATTCTGTGTTCATGATCCAAACGATGTCAGTGTTTGGGTTGTCTTCGGTTTGTTGATGAGTAGGGGTTGTGAGCTCCACACCTCCAGTGCCAGCAATGCCTCTGTCAAGATTTGATAAATAGATTAAAACAGGGCTATACTCAACCTTTTTAGGCCCACAGACTTTCAAATTTCCATAAGATTGTTCGCAGACCAGCAAACTTCTAAAAACTGTTTTGTATGGATCTGCAAGGTTTCATAAAATTTTTGAAAGCACAAAATCTTTCTTGAAAGACCTTATTGGAGGGTATTTAAGCAGCTTTTGCTTTTTTCAAAAATTAAGTTAAGAACCAATGAAGCAGCTACAATGAAAATGTCTTAAAGAATTAGAGAAGTGGGTTTGAAGAAAGGTTTCTTACAATGCAAAATTACCATACTTCATTTCAGCCGGTTAAATTTGTCTGAGACATTATTAATAGTAGAGCCAACTTTTATTATTTGTCAGTTAATTACAACTGCCATTATCTTTCTGAAATTTCAAATGAAGAAAACAGAATTTATTTCCATTTTTGGTAAATTTGAATGATGAAGAACTTGTCCTTTGGACCAGCAAATCTGCAGACTGTTGCTGGATTGCCGACCACAGGTTGGAAACACTGGTTTAAAATATGTGCTGCAGAGGCGTCATAAAATAAAACCCCAGAAATCATCCCAAAGCTTCAATGAGTCAAGACAATTAGTCATACAAACGCTTTAGAAAGGCCTTCATAATTCGTCAAGCTTCTCCCAATAAACTTGTCTTTATTCCCAAGAAATTATCTGGCCCAGAATTTATATCCCCGTCATTAAAATTGCAAAAAACATTGATATAGTTTCCATCGACCTTCCAGCAGGTTAAAAATTTTCGGAGTAAATTGCGCTTAGGAATGATTCTCAGAAGTTAGGGTTACTGAAGAATCTCATTTTTAAAACATTTGGAAATGAAAGAAGAATGCATGAACAGATCCTTTAAAACTAGCTAAACATTGTCTTCCACTCATCTCAGTTTTCAAGTATAATTTTATATGATCGTTGAAGTTCAAAAATCCCGTTTCTCACTGCAGCCTTCAAAGTTTTCGCAGCGTTTTGTTTCAAGAAAAAGCAACTCGCGCCAATAAGATCTTCGCTCATTGGGTCAAAGTCCTCTTTCAATATAGTCAAGACTCCCGTTTTTCTTATTTTCATCTTTCAGCACTTGCAACAGCAATTTTTCTTCTCACCTCACCACTCCTTTCACGAGAGGAAATTCCGGCAAAGTGGCGTTGGATGTGAGCACATACGAGCTGGAATTTGCATTCAGGCGTGATTCCTCGGGTGGACGCGGAACGTGGCAGATAAGTGTCACGAAATCACGCGGAGAAATCAGCGAAGTTGACGAGGCTTCAATTTCATGCCAGACCACCACTTTGTCGTCGCCTGCGAACTGTTTTTGATGGAAATTAAATCAGTAACTTTTAATTTGATCCATTGTTGTATCAAATTCAATATTTGTAAATGACATTATTAAAATTATAATTTGAATCCTGACAGAGCAACTGAGCGCCGAAATTTCTTGAATTTCCTTTGAACTACGGGAAATTTAAAAACAGGGTTTAACCTGAAAAATATACTCACAGAGATGATTTTCGAATCGGAATAAATTGAGTCCCATCCACCGGCAGTGAAACCCTCCAGCCAGAAGGCATCCAGTATTGTCTGCCTCGAATGATTTACACTCGTCTGTCAAACATTTCCAAACACGCGAATCTTTAAATGCTTCTTTTCATCATCCTATATAGAAGGGATTCCGTCGACTCACTGTCAGCTTGTAAATGTCTCGTTTATAAGGCACTGAGTATTGCCAAAATAGCGTGACGTTATCTTCGGGGGATTCCCGAAGGTTTCGCCAGTTTTCGGATTCTTTGAGATCCAAAAACTCAGGCAATAATTTCCTCTCGATTCCCTGCGTCCATCTCATCGAGGACTGCAAAATAAATTTGGTAAATGTTTAGTAATTTGCTCAACTCAACGTGAAGCCAATTAATTTTCATAGTTTATGCTCTGTCTGATATAATTTTAATCATATTTCTCATTTTTATGCACAGTATTTTTTCATGTCTTGGTGTTTGATTGATTGATAAACAAGCTTTATTTTCTGCTTTTCAGCATTCACTAGGTTCAAACAATTTTATCACATCCAAACACATTCCATCACATCATAATGAAAGTGGAGAAACAAGATGTTTATGGCAGTGTTAAAGAAAAGGAAAATACATCACAAAATGTACATATGCAACACTGATGTAAATGCATACACTTTGTTCCCCCTCACTAGATTAAAAAGAGAAAATATCAGTAATAACAATTAAATCATATAATGCAATTAAAAAACACCAATAAAATCACAAGGTTTTCTGCCTGCTCCCAGATAAGTTTTAGTTGATTAAACAATTTGGAGAGAATCTTTGAAGTGAAATTGCATATAAAGCCAACAGTTTATCTCGGTCATCTAAGATTTTGGAAAGAGACTTTTCATCAAATTTTAAGAGTCCAAAATATTTTAGAAGCTCATCTCTGTAATTATGGAATGCTGGTATGCATCCATGAGTCTCAATATATTCTTCTTTCATTCAAAAAAGGAACCTTTGCGCTTCATAAAACTGTTAATGACTGATTGATTGGACACAGTACTTCTGTAAAATCACAATCGCCAAGAATTGTCATCAGGAAAAATATTTGCACAGACGCGAATGAAAATGCGTCCACAAAATTACATCGATGGTATGAATTACAGCTAGGACGAACTTGGAAACATATATTAGCACTAATTTTCTACCCGAAACAAAGCTGCAAATTGTTTTTTTTTTTGAACAAACATTTTCAGCAGCAGTTTCGTCGCTGTGAAATAATGACATGTGAATGTTAAACAATATGACAACACTCACCACTGTTGTTGCTTCATCTTGGAGATCCGGAGTAACCACATCAATAGACGTGTACGACGCGAGGAAAACAACCAAATTCCCGAGCAGAGTCGGTATCATCTGAGTTTTGAAATTTCAAAAATCTCAACGGAAAAAAAGTATTCAAGCATCAGCATTCAATGCCACAAAACCATGATTTTAATACGGAACATCGCCAGCATGTCTCATTTTTAAGTCTGCTGGTGATAATGGGTTTTGCAGCGTTGTTTCGGAAAAGCTGTTCTTCCGTCGTTTGGGCAAAAATTTTGTATCGGTATATCTGCGGTACAGTATTTTTAAAAGTAAGAGAACTGTTTCAAGGGTTCTTTTCAAAAGTTAAGGGATATTTTATGAGGGTTAGTTTCTGATCAGCATTTTATAGAGATACGCATGAAGAGACCATTCATCTGCAAGAATTAGAATTGGTTATTTGTGTGGGTTTTTCTAAGTTAAAAATTCTGTGTTTGATCTTATTGTCAGACAAGTTTTTCAAGTCCAAGAAATTAATGCTTTTATATAGGAGAGCTTTGGCAGCGATTATTGGCAATCCAAAGCCAGACATTTTTCCTCTGCATACATTTTTGAGGAAGTGGCCAAGATTAGATTTCAGCGTATGAAACTTTTTTATTTCGGGCGGTTTTGGATAGTGAGGCTATACCTCTTCTTCAGTTACCGTATTCATTATTTCTTGATATGTTTTATGTACTTCTTATGTTTGAGGAAAACGGTCATCTTTCAGTTAGTCGTCAAGCTTCCGGTTGCCATAGTTATAGAGTGATTAGAAGAAAACGTGATGCCGAGACACGCCAAAGGATCATTAACGCGTATAACAGACTTCCTGCCAACGACAACAGATATGAAAGAAACAAAAATCAATGCGTGCAATTACACGGGACCAGCTACGTGACTTTTCGTTTATAATGGAAGAAATACAAGTACATTTGTAGAGAAAATGTTTTTATTTTAATTCAAGAAATTTTGCTTTTGAGTGTACGCTTTATTTTAAAAAGTATTGATAAAATTATTTTGCGGCGCCTGTCTTCTATCTAAATCCATTTACGGCAAAGAAAAGAAAATTGGGTTTTCTGAGTGTTGAAATGAAGAACCACTGTCGACAGCTTGGAAATAAATTTTTTTTTCACGAAAATATCACGTAATTGATGGATTTGATTCATGAATTGATCGTTGGTTTAACTTTGTCTTGGGCCATGAAGCCGGAGGGATTCCAATATAATTGAGAATTTTCTATGCGTGTTCGTTGTGTTCTAAAAGGAGCACCAAGTTAAAAAAAAATAAAATGAATGCCAGTTTCCGAAGCATCTTCTAATTATCCTTCACCAGGCAACAGCAGTTTCAATTATGCAATATAGCCAGACATTTTTTCAACTTTTCATGAACAGATTTCACTGTTGATGATTTCCTGATTTCACGCAAGTATATTTTTTTTGAAGCGACAGCTGTGTTAAAAAGAAAAATTTTATTCTAAAATCATAAATGATTTTAGAAAAAGGTTTTAAAGAATTTGTGTTCCATCTTTTACGTCGAAGTCACTTTGAATTCAAGACATTCCCTCGAATATGCGCCAGAATCCATTCAATTATATATGCGAAGATCACAAGTATGCCGAGCACACGTCACATCAGCGTTTCCGAGCCAAGTTTAAAGATGTTGAATTATACCTGGTTGAATACAAATTTAATTAAAGATTTATGTCAGTTCACTAGATGTAAATACACGAGCTGGCGAAGCACAATAAATCCTGTATTCACCACACAGTATAAAATTCGTTTTTCTCACGAATTTAGAAACATTGGAACAAAAGAAGAAAAAAAAACCATACGAAAACAAGCACCACAGAGAACAATAGAGCCCCAAATTTTTTTTTCATCAAACACACACACACACTGCGAACTCGGAGACACCTTTCACATCCACGAGCATCAGAAACTTTCTCGCCCCGCGTCCCAGGTTCGTCTCGCAAGACTTTCGACTTGCCCTCGGGGCACCTTTCTTCTTCTTCTTCTTCTTCCTCCGCCGCGGACAACGAGTCTATTTTACTTTTCCTCCTCTGAATCGTTCTCTCTGGAACTCTTGTACAAGTCACCCTCGAAAAAAAAAGGAAAACTAACCGAGAGGAGAGAAGCAGCTTTACTGGCTTGAAGGAGAAAAAGAAGCAGAAGATGTGCTCGAGAACGGGGCAGCTGCCGTGGCGTAGAAAACGCCAACCACGATGCAACTGATGGCCAGCAAAGTGTCAAAGAAACTGGCGAGCATGAAGACTGTGCCCAGGGACACCACTAGTGCGAGCATGGACCGCAACGTTTTGTGCATGCCCATCAGATGACTAAGCACAATGACCGCACAGACAAGGAATTGAGCAAAATAAAAACAAAACAAAAAATATACTGTATAAATAAGCAACGGGTTCCTATATGTTACGACGGGGAAACAAAATTGTTAATAAATTGAAAGAAATAAAAGTGCATGTCAAATTCACAAGCTAAACTCTTCAAAATGTCATGTCAATGCTTAAAACGCGAGTTCATTTTAACACGTTTTTATTAACTTGCTTTCTTGTCCATTTGTTTGTCCAGATCAAATTTTGCAACTCAAATTTTGCTCACTTCCCGACTAGCTAGCAAGCTGAAACTTTCAAAATAGCTTAGAAACTGATGACAATGCAATCAACGTGGTTTTTTAGATTAATTTTTTAATCTACTAAATTTTTTTACTATCAATTGTGTACCTATATACAGTGAGACCCCCAGATGTGGACACCTCAACCTGCAGACAAATCAACATAGGGAAACTAATTTTCCCATAAAAAATTAATAAAAAAGGCCTGACATGAGGACACTGACTCAACATAGGGACATTTTGTGACAAGACCAAAGTCCAAGAAACAGATATTTCCAACCCTGAAATTGGGCATTTCTCTCACCAACTTACCATCAATTTAGCTGATTTAAAAAATTACCTCCAGCATAGAGGGACTTCCTTCTCTATTTTTCACTTGGATGTTATATTTTGCAGAGAATGCAAACATTTCTATGTACTGTGCAGAGGTGTCAGTATTCCATTCCCCAAATGTCCAAATTGTGTCAAAATATATTGATGGAATCAGTTTAAATTGGGCGACAATTTTTATTTTCATAGAATCATGGTGAGTATTTTGTACATGAAACACCAAATAAAAATTATTCTATGTAAGTATAAGGGAAAATGAGACTCAACTTAGGGACACTATTGATGCACCAATTATGTCCACATCTTGGGGTCTCACTGTACTAGAATATAGTGCAGTATTGATTGAAAAAGAAGGCAAATTTTGCTACCCCAGCAAGCGCAAAGTTTTGCGCAAATTCTGAAACTAACTCACTTGATGATTGCGCCAAGCGGTGCGCAATTACCACCTGTGCGAGAACAGGACAGGAGAGCAAGGAGGAGCAATGACCAGCCTGCCATGGTGGTCCACAGAATGGAGGCCCGGAGAGTGTCATGCAACCAGTGGCCCGTTTCGCAGACCTGTTTGGCAAACCCGGAATCCGGGATTTCCGTTTTCATTCCTCCCAACGCGTTCCCTGCATGAATCACGCTTGTCCTCGTGGGGCCGAGGGTTTCCGGGGTAACAAAAGGAGTGCCTGGAATGACATTCAAATATCCTGAAAAATGTTGGGATAATTTACAAAAATATCCACGTATTCCGCTGATTGATAATGATTCAGCAAAAATATTGAGTCCTCCTAAAATGAATTCCGACGAGGGAAAAGTTTTCAACGATAATTGGTTACACGTTTCTTGATGGCTCAAGCACATTGATCAAGTTGTCGTATTTATATTGAAAAAAATTGGAAAAAATATACATGACTTATAATTACAATTCAGCAACTTTGACCGAAATGAAAATCCAAAATCCAAAAATGTTTCATGGTCAAACGGAAAATTTTGCTTCAACACCAATTTTATCTGAATCGAAATCCAAATTGCTCATAAATAAAATTGAGATTGTGCAAATATTTCGCCCAAATAACAATCATAAGAGTTAAAATAGGACCCAGCAAATAATTTGTTACAGGTATTGCTGCGCATAACAGTTACGCATTAAAAAATGCGTTTGTTATGCATCACTGTTATGCCCAGCTTCTTCTGAAACGCCTTTCTTTTTTT